GCTTTGAGCCAAGATCCTTCTGACATCAGCAATGATATCTCTCATTCCATGTCCTCTTCTGAATCCAGCTTGCTTTTCTGGAAGTTCTCTGTCACTATACTGCTGCAACCATTTTTGAATTATCTTCAGTAAGATTTTACTTGAGTGTGATATTCATGATACTGTTTGATAATTTCCACATTCTGTGGGATCACCTTTCTTTGGAATGGATACAAATATGGATCTCTTTCAGTTGATTGGCCAGGTAGCTGCCTTCCAAATCTACTGTCATAGCAGAGTGAGTACCTCCAGCACAGCATCCATTTGTTGAAACATCTCAATGAGTGTCCCATCAATTCCTGGAGCCTTGTTTGTTGCCACTTCCTTCAGTGTGCTTTGACTTCTTCCTTTAATACCATTGGTTCTTGATCATATGCCACCTCCTGAAATGGATGAAGATCGACCAGTTCTTTTTGGTACAGTGACTCTGTATATTCCCTCTATCTTTTTTTGATATTTCCTAAATCATTCAATATATTGCCCATAGAATCTTTCAATATTGCAACTTGAGGCTTGAATTTTTTCTTTAGTTCTTTCAGCTTGAGAAATGCCAAGTGTTTTCTTCACTTTTGGTTTTCTAACTCCAGGTCTTTGCACATTTCGTTATAATAGTTCACTTTTTCTTCTTGAGTCATTCTTTGAAATCTTCTGTTCAGTTCTTTTATCTTGTCATTTCTTCCATTTGCTTTAGCTACTCTCCATTCAACGGCAAGTTTCAGAGTCTTTTCTAACTTCTATTTTGGTCTTTTCCTCCTTTCCTGTCTTTTTTAATGACCTTTTGCTTTCTTCATGGATGATGTTCTTGATGTCATCCAATTCCTCTGGTTTTTCAGTCATTTGTGTTCAAATCTATTTTTTAGATGGTTTCTAAGTTCAGTAGGGATATATTCAAGGTCATATTTTGTTTCTCGTGGACTTGTTTTAATTGTCATCATCTTCAACTTCAGCTTGCATATGAGCAGTTGATGGTCTGCTCCACAATCAGCTCCTGGCCTTGTTTTGGCTGAAGATATTGAGTTTTTCCATTGCCTCTTGCCACAGAGGTAGTCATTCTGATTCCTGTATACTCCATCTGGTGAAGTCCACATGTTTAGCCACCATTTGTGTTGTTGTAAAAGGTATTTGCAATGAATAAGTCATTGGTTTTACAAAATTTTATCTTGCAATTTCCAGCATTATTTCTATCACCAAGGCCAAATTTTCCAACTACTGGTGATTCTTCTTTGTTTCCAGCTTTTTCATTCCAATCATCAGTCATAATCAGCACATCTTGATTGCATGTTTGGTCAATTTCAGACTACAGAAGCTGGTAAAAATCTTCAATTTCCTAATCTTTGGCTTTAGTGGTTTGTGCATAAATTTGAGTAATAGTAGTATTAACTGGTTTTCCTTGTAGGCATATGGATATTATCCTATCACTGACAGCATTGTACTTCAGGATGGATCTTGAATTAGCCTTTGTGATGATGAATGCCATGCCATTCCTCTTCAATTTGTCATTCCCGGCGTAGTAGATCATATAGTTGTCTGATTCAAAACAGCCAAAACCAGTCAATTTCAGCTCACTAATGCCTAGGATATCAATCTTCCTGCGTTTCATTTCATTTTTGACAGCTTCCAATTTTCCTAGATTCATACTTTGTATATTCCATGTTCCAATTATTAATGGATGTTTGCAGCTGTTTCTCCTCAGTTTGAATCATGCCATATCAGCAAACAGAGGTCCCAAAAACTTTACTTTGTCCTTATCATTAAGGTTGGTTCTACTCTGATGAGACAGCTCTTTCCCAGTCATATGTTGAGTGCCTTCCAACCTGAGGGGCTCATCTTCCGGACTGTATTAGACAATGTTTCAGGGCTATTCAAAAAGTTGTCCAGTAATGTATCAGACAGTGTTTTCTGCTATTCATGAGGTTTTCCCTGGCCAATTCTTTGAGAAGTGGATGGGCTCTTCCTTCTTCCGAGTCTGTCTTAGTCTGGAAGCTCCACTGAAACCCGTCTATCATGGGCAACCCTCCTGGCATTTGAAACACCAGTGGTACAGCTCCCAGCCTCATAGCAGCATGCAAGCCACCACAATAGGACAAACTGACAGACAAGCTCATCTCCCTTCGTTGTTCCAAACCCCTCTGCCCACTCCCTGGCCTTCCCCTTACCTGTTCTGGCTATCGGCCCTGGCTTCTTCCTGCTTCCTTCCTGGGTGGGGGCACTCCCTCCCCTTACCTGGATCTGACCTTCAGCCCTGGCTTCTTCCTACTGCTTCCTGCCTTGGGTGGAGTCTCACCCTTCCCTTACCTGGATTGGGCCAACTATTTAGTATTTGCTAAATATCTGTGCTGGTCCTCTTTTTTATTTTGATGTGAAAGTTTATCATTTTTCTTTGAGGTTACCCTGTAATTTATAATTTTCTTCCCAAGTTTAGAACAGTCCATTCTATCTTGCAACTATTTTGGCGTCCTCACCATTTAGAAGTTCTGTAACTACACAGTTTTTTCACTCTTTTTGGTTTGTAGTAGTCCTCATTTGCCAATTGATGTCTCTGATTCCATTTACAATCTTGTAGGTTTATATACTTTGGATACTTCCATAACTGGGTTGGTTTCTGCATTATGTCCTCATGTGTGTTAATGGTTGGTCACTTGTTGTTAGCTGTTGTTGGTTCTCTGTCCAAAGGACTCCTTTTACCATCTCTTGTAAAGTTGATATAGAATTCATGGTTGGAATTTTTTTTCTTTCAGGGTTTTATGTATACCATCCCATTGCCTTCTCACCTGCATGGTTTCTGCTGAGAAATCAGAATTTAGTCTTATTGGTTGCTCTTTGTAGGTAACTTTTCATTTTTCCCATACTGCTTCCAGGATTCTTTCAGAAGGACTGATCTACTTGTTCACCCTCAATGTAAGTGGGTCTCAATCTGCACCTGGGAAGCATGCTGCCCTGTGATCTGCAGGTGTGGACCTGTGTGAGCCAGTGCAGCGGGTGGCTGGACTCGCCCAGGGGTCAGTAACAGGAAGAAGGGTCATTGGGGGAGTCTCAGGCAGGAGATCAGGTTTGGAGGATGAGGGAGCAGGGAGGAGGGTTTTCTTTGAGACACGCTGGCTTGATACCTATGAGATGTTCCCATGGAGACTTTGCTTTTGGTGAGTTTGATGATGATATGTCTTAGTGATTTTATTTTGGTGTCTATCCTGTTTGGGGTTCATTAGACTTCTTGAATGGATATATTCTCATCTTTCATCATATCAGGGAGATTCTCTTCCAACAAATTTTTGACAATTTTCTCTGTGGTTTTTATTTGTCTCTTCCTGTTCTGGAATTCTGATTACACATAGGTTGTTCCTTTTGATGGTATCCCACATGAACCTTAGGCTTTTTTCATTGTGTTTTGATCTTTTTTCTCATTGATCACTTTCCAAAGAAGTATTGAGGTATTGTCTGCAATCTCACTGATTCTGTCTTACGTTGGTGCAATACTACTCCTTTGCCCATTCAATGTGTTATCTATTTATAAAAATTTAGTATTAATCTTTGGATTTCTGTGTGTAGATTTTGTATCATTTCTAATTTTTCTTTAATTTTGACATTTTGTTCTTGTATTTTCTTCCAAAACTGTTCAAGGGTTTTCTCTGTGTTTTCCTCAATTTTGTCCATGTTTTCCTTGATCTGTCTATCAATTTGTTGATGGTACCTAAATATAATTCTTTTGAATTCCTCCTCAGAGAGTTCCAATGCAGCTTCTTCTTCAGGCATGTTTTGTGAGTCTATATCCTGGTCCCTTGTTTCTACTGTTTTATCTTACTTCTTTGTGTGGTCTGTGATGGTATGTTGTCTCCAAGACATTCTGACATTTTTGTGTTTATACTTAATTGATGATTATATGTTGGAGTGATTCACCCAAGATTTTAGTTTTCTTTGGATGTATCTGAGAAAGCAGGGTACCGTGCTCCTCTATTCACTAGTTGGCAGCATTTATGCACTCACCACTTGTCTCCTTTCCAGTTGTCAGCCTCATATATGTCCATGCTATCTTTGACAAGTAGAGCCTATTTTTAGGTCCCTGGAATTTGAACAAGAATTCTGTCACTTTAAATATCCAAAATGGCCACCACCTGTAAACTTTCAAAATGGCTGTACCCTCCAGACAGCTGAAAGTCCATAGCTCATTTTGTCTCCTTCTTTGTTGTTTCCCTTTTAGTCATTAGCTACCTGTGCAATAGTCCATGCAGGCCTTGTGAGCAGGGCTAATTTTAGGTTAATTCTCAGGTCCTATCTGGTAGCATAGTGCCTAAGGCACTTGACTGCTAACCAGAAGGATGGCAGTTCAAACCCACCAGCCACTCCTTGGAAGGAAGATGGGGCGATCTACTTCCATAGTGATACTGCCTCAGAAACCCAAGGAGGGGTCACTATGGGTTGGGTCCGACTCGACGGCACATAACAACAACAACAATACCACTTGGAATTATTCAGGCTGCCTGTGCCATCAGGACAGCCAATAGTCCACGGCTCCATTTGTCTCCTTATGCACTGTTTTCATTTAGGTTCTTCCACTGGGAGATCTGGTGGCATAGTTCCTAAGGCTATGACATAGTCCCTAAAGCTATTGACTGCTAACCAGAAACTGGCAATTCAAACCCACCAGCCACTCCTCAGAAGGAAGATTGGGCAATCTACTTCCATAGTGATACTGCTTCAGAAACACAAGGAGAGTCGCTATGAGTTGGATATGACTGTATGACTGGACGCAGGTTCTTCTACTAGTTGGTGCCTAATCCACTTCTGCATAGTTCCTTTCAAAGCTCAGGGCTCCAGGATTATCTTCTATATCTGTGTCAATTTGTTTCTCTTTTCTTCGTTGAAGAGGGTCTGTGTAGCTTCTTTGCCTATTCCACCATCTTACTGGAAGTCCTAAGAAATGTCATTTTAAAAGTGGAATCATTTTCCTTTTTTTTTTTCTTAAGGTGATTTATTTCACAGCCCTATTCCCATACCTGGTCCTGACAGTCTTCCTGATCCAAGGACTTACCCTGCCTGGGGCAACAGAAGGACTGATCTACTTGTTCACCCCCAATGTAAGTGGGTCTCAGTCTGCACCTAGGAAGCATGCTGCCCTGTGGTCTGTGGGCATGGACCTGTGTGAGCCAGTGCAGCGGGTGGCTGGGCTGGCCCAGGGGTCAGTGACGGGAAGAGGGGTCAGTGGGGAGTCTCAGGCAGGAGATCAGGTTTGGAGGAGAAGGGAACAGGGAGGAGGGCTTCGTTTGAGACATGCTGGCTTGGTGCCTGTGAGATATTCCCATGGAGACTGACACTAGGTCAGGGTTCAGAGCAGAGACTGCTGGAGACCCAGATGTTCACTCTGAGGGTCAGCCCACAGGCTTCAGCCCTGGACCCCACACGCAGGGTCTCTTTCAGCAGCATGCACTCACCAGGTGAGAACTCACGTGTCCCCCAGACCACTCCACACAGTCCAGGATCCCATTATCACCTGCCAAGGTCACCAAGAGAGCTCCTGGGGCCACCCCTTCCATTCTGCCCATGGAGTGTCTGGCTACGGGTGTTAGAGGAATGGCCACAGAGATGGTCTAGGGCCAGGCAGAATGAATGGTCACCTTGCTGCTCAGACAAAGACAATGGAGGGGGAGGAGGAGGAGGAGGAAAGGGCGGGAGAAAGCAGGGGACAAGGAGGAAGAAGAAGCAAAGGAGAAGGCAGAGGGGGATGAGAGGGCAGAGGAGAGGATGGGAGGAGAGTAGGAGGGGTGGGAAGGGAAAGGGTTCTCCGTTAACCCAGCTCTAGCTGGGGCATGGCTGTCTAGAGGCACTAGTGGAACTGGTGGAGGTCTGGGGGTGTGCCCAGGTGACCCCCAG